CTGCAATGGATACTAGTTCCTATGCACCTGCCTGTCTTTCCTGCTCAACCAGGAGCTTCTCCACCCTAAGCAGGAGCCATAACCCCACCCTACTTTCTATCTCTGGCAAAGCTAGCACAGCAGGTACTCAAAACAGACCTTGAGCAAAACTTTCTGCTCCTCACCTGACCTCATGTCTAATAAAATGGTAGACAGTCAATATTTATCATATTCACTCTGTTACTTCTGTTGCTGTCACAGGAACGCAAGCCATGCAGTTTAGCTCATTGCTAGTATGTCCAAGTGCTGAGAAAGGCAGAGCACTCTTTGGTGACAGAGATCACAGCTGTCCTGTCTACTTGTAGCCACCCACAGCTCCCGGCATGAAAGAAGCGCTCAATAAATGGTGAATGCTTGAGTGAATGAATGCCTGTCTCATTTTCAAACACATAAATTATAAAAACCAAGACGAATGAAAGTGTAGTAGCTGCATAGACATGTGAGCACTAAAATAGCTTGTTGGACACAATTAAATTTGAGGACCTTTTCTAATTCATGCACTTGAAACCTTTTTATGTCCTAGCACCTTAAAATGTAAAGTTTTCTATTTTCCAATGGCCATGGCCTTGGAGCATACCTGAAGGGTATAACACAACCCCTAAAACAGTGACACTAGGCTGGGGCAGATGCAGGGCCACAGGTCTGAGAGCTTTAGACAAAATGATGGGGAGGGACCATGAGAACTTTGAAAATGCTCCACAAATGATTCTTATATATACACCAGAGACACGTTGAGCTCTGAAATCTGAGATGTGCACTGAGGCTGATCCTGAACAAAAGAAAACAAAGCAACCGTGGTGTATTCTATCACCTCGGCCTGGGTACTTCAGGTTACTATACACTGGGTACTGCTGAGAAGACAGCCCACTATATCGTTTATATTTATTCTCTACCTAGCACCACCAATGCTGACCCACACTTTCCACAAGGACTTCAATTTAATAGAGAAATCAGGTGTGGTAAAAACTGTATTAAATTGCTAGCCTCTCGCATACCCATCGCCCCCAAAAGGAATGCTAGTTTCTGGAAAGAAAAAAATAATGAGTATGTTAACAGAATCTCAGACTTGGAAAGTAAATGTGATGGCTGCCTAACCCAGTGCCCCCCTTATTATGTATCCATTCATTCCACAATGACCCAAACAAATTGAGGTAACCTTATTGAATAGTTTCAGTAACAGGGAGCTCACTATTGCTCAAAGCAATCCATTTGAGGTTCCACAGCTCTGATTAATCTGCCTTAATGTGGGCAGAAATCTGTTCCACTTTTAAGTCCTAGTTACCTCAGGAACCACAAGGTTCTTTCATGTGAAGGCACTGTATGTACGTATCTGAAGCCTCCACTGCCCAGATGTCACACCAAATCTCAGGTATTTGACTGCTCAGTGATGAATCACAATACAGATTCCAACAAAGGCCAAAAAAAGAGGCTTTGCCAAGTTCCTTACCAGAAGCAGGGACACCTTCGGCTATTGAGGAAGTGGCAGAAAATTCTAAACCGTTGTCAAGACAACCAAAGTCCAAATATAAATCTCTTTGGGATTCCATCCGGAAGCAGTTTTTAAGTGTACGCACATACACACCCAGAGGAAATAATAAAAGATCCTCTCCTCCCCCTCCTCCTTTTCTCTCCTCTTCCTCTCCCCTTGCTGTTTGCCACGTGGTAATGTGTGTTAAAAATGCATCCTGGGAAGCTTTCCACCTTTGGGGCTGGAACAGTTGCTGCCTCAATATTGTTTTTGTTAGTTTTTTAACATACTTTGCTGTTTTAAGGGAGTTGTTTTTAAGCTACATGTTTCATAATGCTAGTTAAGATATAAAGCGGCACAATTGACACTCTATTGCCAAGAACACATGGGGTCCTAGGTGTCCAGCAAGGACCCCTATCAAACACGCCCTCCTGCACGAAGCTCCCACGGATAGCCTTGCTTATCCCAGGAAAGGTCATTCACCAAAGCTTTGGGATAAACGAGAGAAAGTCCACTCGTAAGAACAATGAAAGCCAAGAAATTATAACAGGGAGCCTAAAGAAATCCAAGGCTCTGTGAGTCCTTAGTTTTTCCAAGAACACAAAGCATTCAGAGAATGCTGTCAATTCCATCTGGGAATACTCTCCAAAAAAAAAATAAGATCAGACATACCTAACACCAGGGCTCTGAAAGGCACAGGTACAGGTAGAGAAGGCATACCATCTGGCCCTCTCTCTCACTTCCACCTGCTGCAAATAACCCTCCTGTCAGGAACCTCCAACCCCATGGAGAGAGCAAGAGATTACAGCTGAAAGGGATAAAAGCTTACTCTGCCCATGCCCAAAACGCTGTTGCACCTTAAACGGGAAGCATGTCCCCAAGTAATCACTGAGCAATCAGGGCAAACGACCACTCACAAAAAGACTAGCCCCTCGGCCTCTCCAGTGAGACAAGAATCCAGTTAGCAAGTCCGCATTCTCCATCACCTTCTCAAGGGGGCCCAAGAGAAAGTTATTTTCAACAGAGGTTTTGGCTGCTAGGGTCTTGGTGATACGGAGACTTCAGGGAGGTGTAGCAGTGGCTAAACAACAGGAAGACGAATGCTAGCTGCATACAAGACTTCACAGATCTCCCAATACGAAGAATCAAGGAGCTCCAGGCTCCTGTTAAATTTTTTAAAGGACTTTTGTACTTGGTATTGATGCCATCATCCAGCCACTGACCCAGAGTTCTCTTCCAAATCAAGAGAGCAAACTCAAGGCAGTTACAATGGTTTTGGCCTCACCCATTGACTTGCCCTATTTGGATGAGCCGCTAAGAACATAAGCTGTCACATACATCTTGCCCAGCACAGGACCAGCCACACTAGGGGACTTAACAAATATTACTCGGTGTGGATAATAAAGTCATTGGCCTTTCAAATAAGATATCTTCTGACCTGAGTAAGACTAAAATCTAGAGCCACTCTCAAAAAAAAGGCGGCCACAGACGTAGTATAATATAATTGATACTTCAAAGCCTCTGCCTGCCCAGAAATATTTTCTTGCTCTGCTTTTTGGAACTGTTCTTCCCTTCCAAACTCAATCTCCTACCAACAGAGCCACTGCAAAGAACTAGCAAACAAGGGTGAGGCATTGTCTCCCAAAAGCCAGTAAGAGCGTGTTTCATTGTCAGAGATAAGAGAAAAAGAAGTACAGGGATTTCCTCCAGCTTTCTCATCTCCCAGGCTTGCTAACTGCCACCCTGGAATCTTAGGTTAACAGGAAATGATATCGCATATCTGACAAGATCATCTGGTATAATCCTCTGCCTTAAAAAGGGAAGATGTTATTGTAACCATTTTATAGATGAGGCGACTGAGATACTTGTCCCAAACTGCAAAGCTAGTGAGTGAGAAATAATGAGAAGCCAAGTTTGCTGCCTCCTGGTACAGGGCTCTTTCCACATGATCTGTTTCCTTGTAGGATATAGAGACTCATCAAATAGTGAACTTGAAAATAATTCATGTGATTGGGCAGGGCCTGTGCCAACTAAGTGGATGACAAGGAAGAAAACATTGGGAGGGGGGAAGCAAAACATTCCCCATTTCATCTATTCACAAAGCCAACCCTGACACACACAAATCATGTCAAAGTTGACACTTGATTCTTTGGGACATGACATGCCTTCTAAGTCTTTGAAGACTTTCTTAGAGGCCGAAATGATTCCTCACAAGGAAAACATGGGATTCCTGGAATTGCTGCCCGGACTATGTTAAAGAGCATGGCAGACAGTGAAACCCACCCCTACAACACTGACAAAGGTCACAGAAGAAGACCAGAGCAACACCCTCTCCAGATCCCAGCTGTGGCGGAACCAGCCAGGGGGCAGGAACACTGGGGAGTTTGTGCCCTGGAATTCCAGGCCAACCAGACCATTTAGTGGAAATGAGAGTTCTGGCAAAGGACAGTGATGAGAGACAGTCAAGAACACTGTCTTGCCAAAGGTTTCAGAAGAGCCTAGATGGAACCTCAACACTCCCTTAGTCAGCTACGATTCAATCCTAACCTAGAATCATTTCCTCTTTATACGCTTCCTGTACATCCATCTTGACAGACCAGTTAGTATTTCTTTGAGACAAGTAAGAATGGTTTTACTCTTACATTGCTGTTTTTAGGAAATGGTTTTCTTGGGACCAGATTTGCCAAGGGCAGCACAACTAGGCATGATCACTGAAGGCTGCTGAAAACTCGGCTTAAAACCAGCTCTTTCAAAAGAAGGAATTCTGGAATTTGATGTCCCCACCCCTGGAAAAAAAAAATGGCCCTTAGCAGCCCCTGTAGTCCCTGGGGCGCTTTTCGAGGGACTGCCCTGTGTCTTCTGACAGGTCTGCCGGAACCCACAGCTGGGGGTGTTTGCTTTTGTCTTTGTTTCTAGGTTCTTTCACGACTCTTCAAACTCAGAAAGACTCACTTTGGGAAGGGAAGTGGTGATAGAGAAGGACTTTCTCATCCCGCCTGTATCCGGGGCCGAAAAGTTTTCTGGGCACAACGCTCTATAGTACTTTCTTCACCTTCCAGCCAAGTCATCCCCTCGCGCATTCTCACCTCTATCAAGGCTTTCTTTTTAAAATGTGAATAAACCAATTGCCCCCGGGAGGCAAAAGAGGACTCGGCGCCTTGGCCGAGTACCTTAAAGTTTCCGCCGGAAGGAAATTATCAAAAACAAAGGAGAAAGCCCCCCGCGGCCGTAGGGGCAGCAGCCGCGGCCAGGCTGCGCCGCCGCTCCCGCAGTCACCAGGGTCCCGGGCCCGGCCCGGCCTTTCCCCAGCGCGCGAAGCCCGAGCGGATCCCGGGAAACGGGCGGCCGGGGGTGGGACGAGTGGAGACAGCTCGCGAGCAGGCTCGGACCCGCACCCCAGCAGGGCTGAGACCCGGGCGGGCTCCAGGGGCGCGGCGATAAGAGGGGGCGCACGGACTCGGGTGTCCCCGGCGGAGGGCGGCGCAGGACTCACCCCGAGAAGGCACACTTTGAGCTCCCGTATCGCCATCATGTGCTCCGGGACGGTCCGGGCAGGGGCTCAGCATCCTCCGGGGCCGGGGCCGCGCCCGCGCCGAGCCAGCGTTCCCCAGTCTCCGCCTTTCCCTCCCGGCGCCCGCGGGCGGAACCGCCGCCGCTGCTATTTCTGGGCCGCCGGCCCCGTCGCGGTCGGTCACGTGGCCGCCTGCCGGCTCCTCCCGGGGCTTCGGGTCTGACCTCCTCGGCCCCTAGGAACGCCCCCAGACGCCGTCAGCCACCCCGGGGCGGCCCTGGCGGAGTGCCCCCTGCCTCAGACCCGCTCAGCAGCTGGACCTGGCTCTACAGAACCGCGTCTGGCAACTGCCCCTCCAGTTCCGCTGGCTGAAATGCCCGATGGGGCAGGACGACAGGACCCGCGGTGGAGAGACCTGGCCCCACGGCTGCCTGCGTCACTGATGATTCCACTCCTCGTCTGAAAAGTGGGTACTGCCAGCTGACGTCATCTATTTGGGAGCACTTCAGAGTCTGTGTGATTCTGTCTCATCATTAAATGACACTCTAGGTTCCCGGTAGAAATGAAGCCATGCATGAGACAGCTGTTAGGACGAGAAGGGGGTTAGCTTTGCAGCCCACCTTCTTCTGCAGTTCCTAATACTAGGGTTCAGTTTACCTCCACGTGGCTCATTCCTCTCAGCCCTGAGTTAATTTTTCTAGATGAAGTTGAAAATGGCTCTAGAAAAACTATTCTATTCCTTTCTCCAAAACCCGTGTGTCCGTGACTGAAAAAGCAGCAAGCATTCAATAGAGGTGCTGTCTTGCTCAGTATACAAAATGCCACAACTTGCCTGGACAGACACAACACCCAGCCCCCAGAACGATAGCAGAAATATGTAACTCCTCACAGACCTTATGGGTCCTTCCTTCACCTAGAATAAAAAGAGGCTCTGTCTGTAGATAGTCAAGGGAGACTTGAGACTTGTGAGAGCTGCCCTCTTTTCGTCTCCATACATGGTGGGTGTACCTCATCCACTCAGGGAACTTTGTTGCTGCTGTAGAACTGTCAGCCTTTTGGACATACCTGCCTGAATGTTTCATTGGCATTTCCAATTGGAAATAATACGGTTTCTTTTTAACTTCATGCCTTATCCCAAACTCAGGCCTCTCTCACCTGACTTGCGAGGTTTAATCAATGACATTTCCATTCCCCCCAGCAGACCACCCACCTTGATTATCTGGCTTTGTTCCCATAGAAGCCAGATTAAAGCCAGGAGCAATCATACAATGAGGCCTTCGAATCAAGGCCTCCAGAGAGAAAGTCCTAGAATGCTAGAGTAAAAACAGACAATTGGCAATTAAATTTCCCAGAGCAGCAGGAACTACCCCTTGCCAGGTGCAGGCTTATGGAGGGTAACTCACATAAATCTGAACTAAATTGTTCAAAAAGTAGCCATGGACAAGATACAGGTCCTATTCAACATGGAGATTATTGTATCAATATCTGTCCTTGGTTTAGTGTTCAAAGTAAGGACAGTCTTCTATGTGGGCAGAGTGAAGAGTCCTGCCAAGAATTACCCAGCCCTGGTCACAATACCTTACTGTCCTCAGATTTGCTGAGTAGAGAATAAGTACTACAGTTGCAGAGACATCACAATAAAGCAACTCCTTGGCCAAGGCCTTCAACAGCCTCCCCTGGCACCTGGACCATCTCTGGCAGTATGACTTGGATCTCTATGGAGAAGAGCTTCCCTTGGACCTTTCTTCTAACTTCCCAAAAGCTGATCAAACCAGAGCAGAAGCATTTTACATTATCTACACAGTATGGAATGAGTAGCAATTCATAAAATTGCAGCAGGTCACTGAGGGTAAGACCATCCCCAAACAAAAATAAGCCAACAAAATTTCTCTTCCATTTCCTTACTCTTTTTCATGAGTCTTTTCATTCTACTCTCTTCTCCACTAGCCTAAGTGTCTGGGATGCTTGCGTGAGCTCTCTTGAAGAAGTTCTTTATCCAGGCCTCCCCACTCCAAAAACAAACAAACAAACAAAGTCTGTCCTCTCCACCTCTAACCCCATTAAAAATTACCTCCTTTGTGTCTCATTGTGATCAAGCACTCTGTTTTACAAATTATCAGTTCTAGTCTGTCAACCAGACCATCTTCATGGGTTTATACCCCCTCATCAGCCAAGTCACCCTTGGGGACTTAAAAACTGGCCTTATGAAAAACCTGGTCTGCATGGTGAACCCAAGGTGGCACTTTGGCGCTCACCAGAAAGGAGGGATGATGACTGTTAAAAGACATATTTGGGAGTGACAGGTGCTGGGTAGCTCTCAACTTTTTAAAGGCATAATGTTCTCTGCGAGTACTATTATTATCCTCTATGATAACTGTAGTAAGGGCCGGTCCTGACTCCACTGGAATTTTCTGCAAATATAAAGAGGTTCTGATATAACTTAAGCAGGAATTAAAATTCAATGTTATATAACTGAGAACTTAGCAAATAAAACAATTGAACATGCAAGTTTTTCTTATGAAGACTTTGTAAAGTAAAAGGTCATTGTACTAATTCAGACTTCTGTTTTTCTGCTGTTTTAAAGTCTTCAATGGCACCATACAAGAAGAAATCCAAACTCTTCAGTATGCCTTGCCCAAAGTAGCTTCTTCTTTGCCCATCTGGTGAAAACCTGTCATCTTTTGAAGACCTACTCAAATTTCACCTCCTTAGGAAAGTCTCCCCTTAGCTTGCACATACTCTGTTCATACTTCTCTTAACATTTACTCAGTGTAAGGAATTAGCAACTAAATCCTTTTCACAAGGCAGAGTCTAAACAGATACACAAATGTAATTATCTGTCTACATGAGAAGTACCCATAGATTAAGCAAGAATTGTCTCCATATCACCAGAGTTTTAAAATGACAATTTTTTTTAAGTGACTAGAAATGATTCTTTTTTATATCAGTCTAGGACTTTTTTCTAACAGGATCTTTGGCCTCATATGCTTTTCAAACAAGCCTACAGTTTTGCAGGTCTCTGGGTCTGGGAGACCACAGAGTCATCTTCATGATATGGCCCCAGGATCCAGGGGCTACCCCTCTAACAGGATGACTGAGCCTGATACACACACCTTATTCTGGGACTTCTTCTCGGAACGTTCTGTATGGGAATTCCTTTTAAAAGAAAAGAGTAATTCACCAACATGTAGTTAGTGAAAGTCTACCAAGTGACTGGAAATTGCCTGGAAAAACCAACCCAATTTTACTTTAAAATCTACCAAAAGCCATAATAGTCATAAAACTGAACATGTTTTTAATCCAGCAAATCCTTCCTTAGACAATAACATAGAAACAAACACAAAAACAATGAACAATTACAAAACCTGCCTGTTTATGCACAAACATGCACCCAAAGAAACAAAGAAATACATTAGAGAAATAAAAGACCACCTCTTCTGAGATAAAGGAAAGATAGTTTTATTAATTACAACATTAAAGGGGTGAAACAACTGAAATCTCATACTATTTGGGGCATGATTAAACAAACTATGATATCTTATGGTATATTCAACGGTATACAATGATGTATGTCACTTGGGTATTAAATAAAATGTGTATACTACGTGGATTTATAGATAAGTTTGTAGTAAATAAGTTTCTGTGAGAATAATATGACACAAAATTGGGTCTGTATGCTAAACAGTATAAACCATACAAATTTGTTACAACTCCCCAGATTGCGGGTTCATTATAGCAGGACAGTGATGAGTCAACTAGTCTGCTCAAGGGCCAATTAAGGAAAAATAAAAATATTTATAAACCTTTATTTGAATAGTTATATCTTGTTAATGGACCTTTAATGTCTGCAATATCAGTTAAATATCCTTTTAATATTTCTCAATTTCTGAACAACCTCCTTTCTCCCTTCTTTCCTCTCTTCCCTAAATTCCATACTCTTTCTAACTACCATGTGCTGCCATCTCTTATTTGTAGCTCAGACCTTTAAATACATTTTGAGGAGCTGAATTTGGGACAAAGTGGACTAAGAGAGGAATCTGAGGGATTTAGGAAACCAGAGGTGAGAGGGGCCCCACAATTCACCCACAAATTTGGAGGAGAAAGCAGCCTGAAGGGTTCCAAGGGTTCCAAGCAGCCTGAAGGGTTCCAAGGGTTCCAAGGTGTAAAACAATAAACTTAACTTCCACAGTTGAAAATCTTTTTGAAAGAAAGAGTTTATTGGGCCATTGCTAGCAAGAAAAAAAGACCAGGTCCTGGGATATAAAGTCTAAACTGTCAGCCTCAATGTTAGGCAGAGAAGCAACAAGTCCACTGTCCTGGGGTTGATGGGCTTTGTTTATGCATCAAGTAGCGAGATGAAAACTGTAAATTGGTTGAAAGAATTTGCACTGGCTATAGATACATGGAATGGGAGAAGGTGAAGCAGGAGTAGCTTGGGGATAGGCACAGAGTTCGTAAGGAAGAAGTGTCTGCTCCTTTGAGTTGGTCGTGGGAAACAGTCCAGAAAGTTCACATATGAAAAGAATTGGAGGCTCCTGGAGTTCGATGTTGCCTGGCTATTTTCCCTGTTAGATGATCAGGAAATAGCCAGCTGGAAGTTAATTCAAAGTTCCAACGTACCCTCAGGAACGTGAGCAGTCTTGTTAGCTGGCTCATCGCTATTAACAGGCTAACTGTTCTGTCTCTTTCACTCTCCAGCCTGATGGCATTTAGAAAAATCTCAGAATTTTTCTCTTGTCACTAAAGACTCCTGAGAACATAAGGAGTTTTTATTTGTGGGGAGGAGATGGTCCCCAGGCACCTGGGAATGGGCCAGCATGGCAGAGGGTGCTGGAGGTAAGTGGATACAAATCTCCTTATGAATGACTGTCCTCCATTGGCCACCCCAGTTGTCTTCATCTTCATGTGGAAAGAACAGTGACATCTCTTCGAAGCTCAGAAGCAGCAGCCAGAGAAGTGATTGAATTGTCAGCACTCGAGACGGATGAGAGCAGAGGAGGGTGGGGATCCACCTTTCTCATTTTCTCTATCACCACCTGAATGGGAATATTCAAAAGTGTTCGAGAACAAGCAGATCTCCATCACTCAAAACAAGGGAAGCACATGTTGGTTCTCAAAAGGATTTCTGTCAAATGATAACTTTTGGATTTTCTAGATACACCCTCCTGAATCTCAACACTGGTGCCATGCCAGCCTCCTCATCTAACCTCTAACTTCTAACGGTTAGAGGATGACTCCTGCCCATCATCCTCTACAGTCTTTCCAATCCCTGGTTGAGCTAAAAGAATTGAGTTAAAAGAAGATATTAAGATACGTGTTAACATCTCCCACAAAATGGAAATGAATGAATTCAACTGAGAGACCACCTCCCAAAAGTCATAAGCAAT